AGGGCGGCTATTTCGATTCTGGCCGTATCGACCTATCGACTGGTATCGACTGTGATAGGCGAGTTCTGAAGAACCACTCGACCGTGGCGGACGCGTTTCGACTTTCGAATTGGGTGCTTACAATCAAATATTTTTGAAAGTGTTGCCGACTTTGACTGTGCAATTGTTTCCTCCTGATGCGCGTTCGCGAATTTGCTCGACTCGTGCATTCGTCCTGACGCGCGTTATTTCGACGTGACGACAATACGACATCATAGTAGACGCAGGCGCCCGGTGTCCGTTCGGGCAATGCCATTTTCGCGGGCATTGCATCATTTATTTTTTTATTAACGAACGAACAACTTTCTACGCGTCGCTACATTGGATACTGGCCGTATCGCGGGTGTTCACTAGGTCCGCCCGCGGGAGCCATCAGTTCACAAGAAGAAGAAGACTGTGATAGGCGTAGGAGGCAGGGCTTAGGAGCGTCGCCGCCTGCCGCCGAGGAGTGCCGCGTGGAGGACGTCGAGGCCGTTCGGGGCCATTCTCTCGCTAAGAAGAACAAGGTGCGAGATGGCAAGTCATTTGAAGGATCGAATTTTAGAATATCTGGATGCACATGGCGAAACGAATTCGTTATATCTGGCAGATACACTTCAGGAGGATCATCAAAAGATCGTAGGCGTGATCAAGAGTCTCGAGACGGTCCATGACGTGAGTCTGTTTCGACAACAGCAATTTCTATCTTGATCGCTACGTCTTAGTCTAAACTCGTACATTCTCAACATTCTTAATTATTTCTGTACGTGCGATTTAAATTAATGCGAGAGATGCGCTTATCAGTATATAATATTTGTTGAAACATTTCACCTGTGGAATTGTTTCTCCGGACGTGTTAATCGAGCTTCCCCTACAGCACAAAGTTGCACAAAAGTTGCAGCAACACTGCGTTGCAGCAATATTGCAGAGATTTTGCAGCGATATTGCTGCAGAAGTGAAATTTAACTGAGTTTTTGCCTATAATCTGCACAAGATCAGGTCCGTGCGCTTTAATGAGTTTCGTAAATATAAACTCACTTTAAAAGTGAGATTATGAACCTGTGTTGTCATGTGACATAACTTTTTACCAAAGTAAGCAAATAATGACTTCATTAATCTGAATACGAAATACTCAGCTGACTTCAGACTCAGTTTCACTTGTATGTAAATGGAAAGCAACTAATCTTACCAACTTTTCAAAAAGTTATTTCCGTACTTATTTTGCAATAAAACCGTCCAAAATCGCCAATTCTGAAAAAATTATATCTTGAGTCTAAATAATAATCATAAATCTATTATTTATACGCTAAATATAATCATAAGAATGGAAGACTACGTTGCATTCTGATATTATACTATAACACTAAACTATGTTCCAACGAGTGGAACACAGTATAATGTTCTATGTCCTAGCTAAAAAAATAGCATAAATGTATATCGATATGAGCATGCACTGTGGTCACGTGTTCAACATCAATTAATTCCTAAAAATAATTCTCTGCTTTAATTATACAAATTTTCTATTTTACAAACACAAATTCACTGCTTTAAAAACACAAATTGTTTTCTTATATTATTTTTGTGTTTTTAAAGCAATGTATTTTTAAAGCGCAGTAAATTTGTGTTTTAGATCAGAGAATTTGTTTTTAAGCGATGAATTTGTGTTTTTAAAATAGTAAATTTGTGTTTTAGAACAGATAATTTCTTTTTAAAGCAGTCAATTTGTATTTATAAAGTAGAGAATTTCGGTCTGTTCGCATTGCTTGCACTTTTTGCACTCAGCATCTTCACTTTTTCTCTTTTCGACGTCCAAATGTATCCATCTCCTTTTAAGTTCAAAGATGTTTGAGGATTTCAGGCAATGCAAATAGACCTTTCAAGATGCGTCCCATCTGGGTGCTTCTCGGGTGTCGTGTCATCCTTGTTTAACGTTTATTAAACATTAAACAATAAGGATGACATGACACCCGGGGAGCACCCAGATGGGAATCCGAACATGCCCTTGTACAGTTAAAGCAGAGAATTATCTTTAGAGGAATTAAAGTATTCTTACGTGGCAGCATCAAGCGTCGAACGTCAAACATCGTGTGATTGCTATTCGTCAATTTTGATCACCTGACCTGTTTTTAGCGAATGCTAAGCTCACAATGCTCGACGCTCGACGCTCCTATGTAAAGATGCCTTTAATTGAAGTATGAGATTTCCTAATCTGAATGAATAGTAGTCAACTTTAACGCTTAATATCTTGGTTCGCGGGGCAGAGCGACGCTTATTTCTACCAGATTCTTTCGTTTTATGCAAAATCGTTGAATAAACCTAATTTCACTGATTTTTTTAGCTGCGAAAACTAAATTGTATAATTGCCACGACCTTTAACCTACTTACAGTTGATCACGGTAAAACCGATTTCTGAAAAAAAATGGGAAATTACCGACGAAGGAAAATACGTAATAGAACACGGCAGTCACGAAGCTGTCATTTACAATGCTATCCCTGCTGAAGGGATACCTCAGGCCAAGCTTATCAAATCTAGTCCTTATGCTAAAGTAGGTTTTTCCAAGGCGATGGTTGCAGGATGGATCGAGCTTGATAAAAGTGAAAATGTCCCTATTGTACGAAAGAAAGCACCGTCCATTATAGATATCATTCAGATACATTTGAAGAATCTTACAAATGTCCCGGAAAATGTTAAAGCAGAATATAAGAAGAGGAAGTTATTGCAAGAGGTGTAAGCAGAATAAAACAAGTAAAGGACAATGTAAAATCACATAACTTTTTATTTTTTTAATTTTTCTTCTCATATAACGGCAGGATGATAAAAATTATGCATCTTGAAAGGGGGCCAAATTTTTCTACGAAAATAGAAAAACTAGAAGCAGACTTGACATCAGATTTATTGGTAAATGACGCTTGGAAAGATAAGAAATTTAAACCATATAATTTTGACGCTCTAGGTGCGTCACTTCAAATAGGACATTTACATCCATTGTTAAAAGTTCGTCATGAATTCAGGAAAATCTTCTTAGAAATGGGGTAAATAACATCAATCTTTCTTCACAAGATTTATACTATTTTTAAAATCTCGAAAATTTTATATATTTTAATGTTATATATTGACTTCTTTTATTTATCACAAAAATTATTCTATTTCAGATTTACTGAAATGCCGACAAATAATTACATAGAAAGTTCTTTTTGGAATTTTGACGCTCTCTTCCAGCCGCAGCAACATCCTGCTCGTGATGCTCACGATACTTTTTTCGTCTCTGGTACCTTATTTTACATTGATGTATAAATGCTTAAAAGACATTAACAAAAAAATTAGTTTTATCTTTTAGAACCTTGTCTTAGCACAAAGTTCCCTATGGAATATTTGGAAAGATTGAGTGAAGACTGTTCACAGTAAAGGAGCGTATGGATCTCAAGGTTATAGATATGATTGGAAGTTGGAAGAGGCACAAAAAAATTTGCTGCGCACTCATACAACGTCCAATAGTGCACGAATGTTATATAAACTTATGGAGAAAGTAAGTAGTCGAAGGAGAAGTAGGTATACATATACAAATTACTCTTCTAAAGACAGTGAGACGTAATTTAAAAAATATTTTGCAGGGAGATTTTAAGCCGATTAAGTACTTTAGTATTGATAGAGTATTTCGCAATGAAACTCTAGATGCGACACATCTTGCCGAATTTCATCAAGTTGAAGGTGTTGTTGCCGATTACAATCTTACATTGGGTGATCTTATTGGCACTTTATATGAATTCTTTAATAAACTTGGTATTACTCAACTTCAATTCAAACCTGCGTACAATCCGTACACTGAGCCGAGTATGGAAATATTCTGTTTTCATAATGGATTAGAGAAATGGATAGAAATTGGTAATAGCGGTATGTTTAGACCTGAAATGTTATTGCCAATGAATCTACCTACCGACGTAAATGTCATTGCGTGGGGTTTGTCATTAGAGAGGTATATATGAAAATAGATATGATTTAACGATTCGTAATTCGATATAAAAATGTAACGTACTTAATTTTTTTGCCTTAGGCCAACAATGATTAAATATGGTTTAAACAATATACGCGATCTTGTTGGACCAAAAGTGGACATGGAAATGGTTCATAACAATCCATTATGTCGGTTAGAGAAGTAAATATCATTCTAAGCATTATTAAGGTATTTATGTTAGACTATATCTTTTTGGAAGTAAAATTAGGTAAAAAAACATTTATAAGGTAAATTGTAAAACATATAAAATTTAATAATTCTAGTTAATGGTATTATATCAATTATATGTATATTAATATTTTAGTTAAAGCTGAAAATTTTTTCTAACATCCGATTAGTTAAGATTATTATTTCTATTTGCAGAACTAGCCGAATGATTTGTTCGCAATGGAAAACGCAGCAAGAAGAGAACCCAGTAAAAACACAGTCAAATCAAGAAACAAAGATCAAGCAGGTGGCGGAAAAACTCTCAAAAAGGCCCAAGTTTTTTAAGCGTGAACTTGTTATTTTTTGCGATCCAAAACATCCAATTTACTTTATTGAACCATTTTTGCAATTCATATCACCATACTTTCATGTTTCTGTGTCGACATACGTTCACTCTACAGTAGCAAACTTGCCTGATGAGCTTGCCAGCTTTGGTTTATTTCATTTCAGCAAAAATGCAAATGTGGATCTATCTTTAACTATAATTTGGAAAACTATTGGACTCGATCCCATTATGGTGCTGCCAAGAATGCATAAAATTCTGGGGATGGTAAATATAGCACGGTATTTAAATCGTTTAATTGAACAGGTCGACACGAATATATTAAAGTATGAAACAAATGGCTTACTTTATGCAAATAAGATAGATTTTTATTTAGATAAAGTACATTGTGTTTTACATGACAGGGACACAAGTAGATCACTAAAACTCTGTAAAAAATCACGTTATGTAATGGGAAAAGATATCTCAATAATTGATTTTATTCTTGAGCATATTGATAGATGTGGGATAAACAAGGAAAGTTAATTAATTAAATCTTATTTACTTTGTCGACAAGAATAAAGAATAAAAATCGGCAAAGCCGAAAAGGAGATATTTGATATACATATATATGTCTTATTGAAATAAAATATTTTTTTAATGAGAGACTCTAAAAATAAATTTAATACGCGCGAAGTACTTATATGAACTTTCGCGGATGTTGATGCGTAAATTATGTTCGTGACACATACAATTCGCAATCTTTCATTGTAGTTTGTACTTGACTTCCATACTAAGAAGAATTTAAATCCAGAATTGATTGTAAAAAAAAGTAATTATATCTGATTATCTCGCTTAAGGGGATGCTGGAGTACGGAACGCTCATTTCATATTTCTCAAACCATTTCGTTTTCCTTATACAGAATAAAAAAAATCCTCCAGAATAAGAGAAAAAAACGCAAATACCTTCGGAAAAGTACAAATCGTATGAAAATCCCCAAAAATTGTAAATTGCAGTTTTCTGTTACTATGCAGGTTCGCTTCCTTCACATATATATAAATGAATGCAAGAGATATATCCAAACAAACAGTACTTTCTCATATTTGAATAATTTATAAGAATATCATGAGACCTTCAAATTATGATTTTGAAGCTTGCAAGAGAAATGGCTTGAAGTACGATTTGAGTGTACATAACCTCGCATTCATGTGACGTACAGAGTGTTCCATACGACTATGATCATGATTTTTCCGGCACTTCCAATGATCTGACAAAAATTATTTTAAATAAAATTAGTCAATTTTCAATCGACTACAAATTGCAATATATTAAAAATTTGCAAAATATTCTTTTTTAGGAAAAAAAGTCGAGGTCACCCTAATTTTTTTTAAATGGCACTACATATTTTTTACTTCATAATATTATAACTAATGTCAAGACGAGTTCAATGACCTACTATACTATGATCTTGAGATGACCTTAAAGTCAGACGTGTGGAATCAATGAACGGAAACGTTTTCGTTTTAGGACCCCCTTAAGGGGATCCTAAAGCCGTCTAGTATTACCGACTAATCATAATTTTTGTATAACAATTACTTTGTTCCTCTTTTATAGATTCGAAAATCCTTTTCCAGGATTAAAGTATACGCATTAATACGTGTCTGTGAGATGAAGTTTATGCCGAGAGCGACAAAAAATTTTTCTGGAGATTTCAATTTCGAAATTTTTTATCGTTCTCGGAATAAATTCCACCTCACAGACACATATTAATGTGTATACTTTAATCCTGGAAAAGGATTTTCGAATCTGTAAAAGAGGAAAAAAGTAAATCCTTGCAAAGAACGTAATTTCATTTTAGGAGAAATATTGTTTTTCTACGCTTTGAATCTTAATTCCATAAACTCAGTATTGTTCGTTCAAGTAATCTGAATCCCGCCTCACGCTTATATTCAATCTACAAGCTGTATGTAGCTTTTATATCAAGCAAATGTTAACCTCAGGTTGTGACAGTTGTATGTTTTTGTTGTGTCAGAAAAAGTGAATTTTTTAATTTTTTCCCCATTTTCTCGTAAAATCGTGTTTTCCGGGATTTCTTTTTATGCGTTCTTTAATTCTGTAAAAAAATTTTGCGATCCGTGAAGCCAATTCAGAGATTTCTCCTAAAACGTAATCGTGGTAAAACAGGACGACTTTAGCATCTTAAGGGGATGTTGGAGTCGTTTGTATTACCGATACAACTATTCCAAATTCGGTAATAGTTATATCTTTCATTCATTTCTTATACTTATTATATATCGTTGTGTCTCGCTCAAACGCATTCATCTGTCCTTATCTAATAAAGTCAGATCTATAAAGTATCGCAAACTCGCATCCATTTGGATCCTTAACGCGGTCATTTCAAATTTATGTATTTGTATATACGTACTTTATTTAGGAAAATGAAATCGTCAAGTATGTAAAGCAATGTTTTTGAATTGTAATTAGTTTCTTTTTGATCAAAAGAATATGTACAAGTGCTTAATTTACGTGTTCTTTAGTTTAATACGGGTTTATTTGTTGTAAAAATTTAGTGCATGAAAGTGCACGAAGGGACATGTAAGTACAGTTTAAAAGATGAACCACCATGCTTGGAACCGTGTACTATGTGCACTTCGGCCATTTTGACGCTTCAGTTCTGGGTAGAGACCCTTTAATCAGAGACTGGCCAACAGATTCGTCAAATTCCTACGAGTGATATATATATGTATAGACTGTCTCGCTCAGTCTCGCTTTTTCGCTCATGTGTACCAGTGTACTGTGTTAGATATCAGTTAGGCCGATATTCATAGTCGGTTCTTATTTC